TGGTCAAGTATGGTTCTACGCTTGAAATGACTTTCCTCTTAACAGCTTGTATGTAGGCACCAAACCTCGTTTTTCGGAAAGATAAACTTCTTCTCTTTCCAAAAACCTTCGCTCCCTTCCACAAAAACAACCTGTTTCCGCCATTGAAGCAATCTCTCTCTCTCTCTCTCTCTCTCTCCAAAGTTTCCAACTCAGAACCAAAAAGAAGTAGAAAGCAAGTGATTTCACTCTGGGACCGTGTTAATACCAACCAGGCCAGAATTTAAAACCAATTATTTCATTTTTGCATTACAATTAAATCAAATTGTCCTCAGAAAGATAGAGTTGAACCATGTTAAGCCATTTTCAATCCTCACCGCAAAGAAGTATTCTGCTAACTCATGGGTAAACAACCGTTGAGAAAATGCTGACACACACAATGACAATGGGCATCTACCTTGCAAAAGCCTTCATATCCTGAAGAAATTTCCCTTCCAAAACCACCGACTCTCCTTCCTCCCTAATAAAATGGATAGTTTATAGAAAATCAGTTTCAACGTTTCCTCCTTCACTGCCACTCCATCGACATTCTTGCTCAAGGAAGGGTTAACCCCATTTCACAACTCTTCACCACCCCTAATTGCCACTTACATCGACATTCATTTGCCCTACTGTGTTGTTTTTGTTTTTAATAACTTTCTTTAAAAAGAATATCTGGTTTGAGTGTTTGGAATTTTCACGCTGGACAAGAATTTCCTTCTGTTTTTTCATTTTTTGGTTCATGCGACTCAACAAAATGAAAGGGAAAAAGATAGGGCTAACATCATTTTACTCAATGAAAGTTTGGGATCATTCTTGAAATGGGCCACTGAGTTTCAATTTTCTCAATTTACGTCTTAACGTTTTAATATTTAATCAATGTACATATTCCGTCAATTTAACCATTTGGTCTTCTGTTAAATGATGACGTGACAAATGCAGGGTCCACTTTTTATCTTAGGTGTAATTAAATATTAAGAAATAATATTTAAAAAGAAATTAATTTTTTTTACAGATATTAAAATTAAAATAAAAACATATATCTCCTCTCTCTCTCTCTCTCTCTCTCTCTCTCTCGCCAGTCTCATCTCCATATCAACCCTCACTCCATCTTGCCCAGCACAAAACCATCTATTTTTTAAGTCTACATTCATATATCATCCTTGTAAAAAATTACACAAATCGGAAACCGTTTCAATATCCAATTGTATCCTACAAATTCAATGAACATGGTGGTTCAAGAGAGTACTAAAATTTCAATAATTCAAATGAGTGGTCAAATGATATTGGATTCAACTAATTTTTTGTAGAGATGACTTTTGAATGGGTATCTACAAAATAGACGTTTGGATTAGTGAAATACAATACAAAGTGACCCCTACAAGAGTGTCCTTCGAATAAGCTTATTTGAGGGACACCTCTTATAGGCCCCATTCCGGATTTTATTTCACTAATCCAAACCGTCTATTTTGTACATACTCATTCAAAGATCATCTCTACAAAAAATTACTTGAATCCGATATCATTTGACAACTCATTTGAGTTATAGAAATTTTAATATTTTCTTGAAGTATCATGTTCATTAATAGAAGGGGACTGTATATATATATATATATATATATATTCCTAACAAAATAATATCTGGGCTAGCAAATGAAATTAAGCTTAGACAAGAAGAAAATAACTTGAAGCTTAAAATATAACCAAAACATATTACAATTCAAATGGCCGCACCCTCAAGCCATCATCATCATCATCATCATCATACTCTTAGTGCATTTTTGCATTGAGAAAGATTTTTTTTCCTTTTTCTTTCATATTTGGTCTTTGGTGGGGATTTTCCCATCTGATTATAAATCATAACCTTGACACACAAACTGTATACAATCAACAAGTAAAGGTGAACACAAGAGGGTGGGATTATGGGACAAAACTCTCTTATGTAACTTCATATTCATGCATCGTAGCGAACATCCGTGGCGAACCTGTTCTTGATCCACTTGAAGCTATTTTTTAGACTTGTTTTAACCTTACCTTCCATTGTAAACACGTTGTATGAGGCAACTCTCTTCTTCCTCTGCAGTTCTGGATCACTTGATGTCGCAAACCCACTTCCCTTCTGAGTTGGCCCGTTGAAGTTGTACGAATTCGACCTCTCCCGGAATCCGAACTCTCCAGAGTAAGCCGAGGTGTATTCAGGGAATGACTTGCTTTTTTCCATTGTCAAAAGCCAGCTTAAATGTTTGGCTATAAGAAAACCCCTTTCTCAAGCTTCATGGTGGAATTTATACTATTAAAGAAGTAATGGACGGTGGAGATTGAATATCAAACGATGGAGGGTGCATGCCTGCATGATGGATCCAATGTGGTTGCAGCCCATGTGTGATGTTCGAAGGCTGCTTTTGGGTTGTCACTGGGGGCAAGGCAAGGGAATCATGAGGGCCAGTGGAGTGTGATGGTGTTGGGCTATTGGTGGGCCTTAGTTGTAGGACATGCCATGATTTGTGATGGTTCACATGGTAGGATGTCGACACAATATTGCTAGTTGAGTCATGGACGTGGGACCCGAGAATAGCTATTCTCGTTTCATTGCTCCTCTCTCTCGATCTCTATTCTTCTTTGTTGGGTGACATAGAGAGAGAGAGAGAGAGAGTGAAACAGGTATAAGTTCTCACTCGTAAACTAGGGTTAAGGTACTTATAGCAAGTCCATTTGTTTCTTTGCATAAAAATTTGTATAAAACAAAGATAGCACTGTTTTGTTATTTTTAATCAATTACAAACTATTATGTATAAAATTTATCACGTATAGCATAACATAATTGACCGAACATGACAAAATAATGATATCCCCATTTCACACAAGTTTTTCTCATTTTGTAGAAAGGATATGCCAAAACAACCAAGCATGCATGTATGCATGTCTAATGTCTGTGTCAGTTTTATGGTGGCACCTTGAAAGTCAGCCAGCCAACCTCAACCTAATTAACCTTTATGAAAAGTGGTGGAGTCATCTTTTACTTTATGCTTAATTGATGTTGGTGGTGGCTTAGTGCTGTGTGGGCCTTGGTATATTATGATTTAAGAGGCGTGCATTATCTTGAGCAAAAAAAAATATTTATTATGTAGATATTTATTGCCTAGATGTTCTTTGGTATTTGATTGTCATTATACATATCTTCAGGGGCGGAGCTAGAATTGTAAGGTTGGGGGGCCGAAATAGAAAATATAAGTATATAAAACACCTAAATATTCAATACTTACATGTTTAGAGCTAAATATTTCTAATTAAGTCATATCTAATTTGTTTTAGAGGACATTTTAACTCAAATTCTATATATTATATATAATATAATAGAGGAGTGATAAAAATATGGGGGGGCCAGGGCCACTCCAAGTCTAGGAGTGGCTCCGCCACTGCATATCTTCTCCATTTCTTTGTTTATTGTGATTTGCTGCCCATTGGAGGTGATGTGTGGCCAACTAACCCAAGTTTTGTTTTTGTTTTTTTTTGTCAGAATGTGGAAGGGGTAGGGGATGTGCTATTAGGGTTGGAATCTGAGATCATTAATCTACACGTAAATGCTTTAAGATTTAGGATTTAGGATTAAATGTTCTTACCACTATGTATTTAGAGTTGCTTAATTTGACTTTGTTAAGAGGTGATAATGATCGCCTCACACACTTATTTAATAATCATCATATAACCAATCACTTTAAATCTCTATTCAGGCATGTTCCAGAGAAGAAACAAATTTCACTCTTCATATTGTACTTCGCTGCCTTTCCTTACGACCATTTTCATATGTCTAGGGCACTAAATACAAGTCCAACAAGTGAGATTGTCTTCATATGCTAAAAAAGTGAACATATTAGCCAACACGGTTTAGTCCAATGGAAAATGACTTGATTTGCAAACCAGTGATCTCATATTTAAACCCCCCTAACATATTGGTAGTGTGTATGAGAAATCATCCTCCCTCTTGTAGTTTAGATGATTGGTGCATTCGGGAAAAAAAATGAACATATTAAAACCGAGCTACCTAGGTTTCCTTCCTCTCCAAACTTTAACTTTTGGCTAGGTTGGTCATAATCACATTATAAGCATTCTTTGCCCTTTTTGGAGTGCAGCGTGCTTTTTTTTTTTTTTTGGTCTGATGTGCAGCGTGCTTATTAGAGCGAATATCAGATGAATCCATTGTTTCTGCTGGTTTATATCACTGTCCAAAATTGAATTTTAGTTCCGACAAATTTTTTTTTTTATCGACAAGCCATTAAATCTTAGTCTCTTTCAAATAATAAAAGATGCTGCAAGTTAGACTCCTCCCTATCCCGTTGATTGAAAACAAGATCATCTACTTTTGTTATGGTCGCCTTGATCTTTTACTCAATTTTGAATTTCAAATATTCAAACCGAAAAAGATTCAAATGAGAAGATAGAGAACATCGTGTCTAGGCTGTCTTCTCTTGAGCATCGATGTCCTGCTTCAATAACTGATGCCTCCTATATTCAGAGGTTTTACCTTAGGCCACAAGTAACCTTTTCTAACTCATTCATGTGGTTATTTTTTAGCTTTGGCTACGAAAAAGTTAGACATAAAAAAATTTGGATTTTTATCACAAAACGTCTCTAACGTTTACGAAACTATCAGATTGCATCCTTAAAGTTTTTTTGTATCACTCATGGTTCCTAACATTAATATAAGTGCTATTAAATAGTCCTTCTGTCAAAAAAACTGTTAAATCTAGAGATATAATCGTCAAATCAATCCAAAATTATAATATATAATATATATATATATATATATTATTTCCTTCACTTCTCTCTTTCTTTCCTCTTCTTACAGTCTTTTCTTTTCTTCTTCTTCTTTCTCTCATTCCTCATCTCTTCTCTGGGTATCTCACATGGGACTATTTTATGTATATAGATGCGGTTTGACCATTATTTTTTTCTTTGTTTTCCTTCTTTTAATGCAATTTTCTTTTTGATTTGTTTTTTATGCTAGATGAGATAAACGGCTGTTTGTTGTGAGGCATGATCCTAGAGACATAAACACTTCCATTATTCGACCCTGCCCTGGGAGGCAACCTACCACCCACACCTCCATTGCAGGAGCTAAGCTAGAAACCACTTTTTCTTTTCTTTTCTTTTTTCCTTTTATAAAACAAGGCCATTACCTGTTTTACATTCCGTTTATTATTGGAACCCCACAAAAATAAAAGGCCATCAACCACTCTCAGATTTTAAACTACTGGCGGAGAGAGAGAAGAAAAGGAAGAAGAAGAAAAAGAGAGAGAGAGAGAAGAAGAAAGAAAGAGAGAAGGGAAGGAAATAAAATATATATTTTATAATTTTGGATTGATTTGATGATTATATCCTTGAATTTAACAGTTTTTTTGACCGATGGACTATTTAAGAGCACCCATATTAACGTTAGGGACATGAGTGATACAAAAAAACTTTAAGGATGCAATCTGATAGTTTCTCAAACGTCAGAGACGTTTTGTGATAAAAAGCCAAAAAATTTAGTTACAGAAGTTCCTAGTGAAAACCAAAGGAGCAATCTTGGAAAGCCTTAAAACGCATTTTCTACTTCATGTTTTAAACACTCACCAAAACCCTAATATGCTGCTCCAAAAGGTTAAAGTAAATTCTCCTAAATCCTATACGTCTACGTCTAATACAACCACCAGAATAACACTGCATATTTGATTCTGGCTGCTAATTTACAATTAGAGTAACATGCCAAAAAATTAAACCAACTATGATGTCAGTGGTTTTGTTTCCCATGCCATTAGCTATCACGTAAATGGTAATGTAAAGAAACCATAAACAAACTGCAATCAAGAAACCAGCAGTGAAACAGAGGAAAAGTCTGAACAAAATACTGACTTGGAAGATAAGCTACTAAGGTCCAAGACATTAAGAATTATGCAGAAGACCACACAAACACGAGATCACAGATGCAGTGAATGATGATCAAGTAACAATTGCATTCATATATAGAAACCGTAATACCTCAAAATTCATGAAAGGTAATACTATCCGCAAATGATTTTATCAACTCTTATCAACTCTTCATTTACTTGTAGTTACTAATCCTGCATGCACAACAAACCCTCTACTCCTTGCCACGTCACCAACCTGATTCTTTCCACATTGTAGGATATTACCACAACCATACTAACGTTGGAATGAAAGAGAATAGGAGCCAGTGTTTGGATCTTTGACAGCTTTGAAGTTGTCAACGCTCATTCCGAAACGGCCTAACAAAGAGTTGCCCATATCTTTCAGCTTCCCTACTCACATAGAACAATTTCAAACGCTTAGTCTAGAGCATATTTCTTTTTCTTTTTCTTTCCATTTATGAAAAACATTAAAATTTAGCAACTGAGGAAACATATATTACAAAGGAAATATGCCCACTAACAGCCAAGTCTAAAATTTAACAATGAAGTACGCCTTAAACAAGCAAAATATACCAGTCACGAGCATAACAAAATTAGGTTTTTACAAGTAAGCTCATTTTAGCATGACATATTATACAAAAACCCATATAGAGCCTATTTGGGGAGAAAAACCCAAAACTAGCCACTTGTCATTTTCTATTAGTTCTTAGTGTGTTAAAATTTTCCAAGAACCAAGTAGAAAATGACAAGGGGCTAGTTTTGAGTTTTTCTCTCCAAGTAGGCTCTATAAGAGTTATTGTATAATATGTAATGTTGGAATGGGTCTAATGATGATAACCCCTAACAAAATTGGACATGATATCTGTTGCCACCAGAAAGCATGGAATATGTGAATAACCATTACAGAAATCAGACATGAGATAGGAGAATTAAAATGTACATTTTCTTACCATTTTTTATTAACATATTCATATTTCTAAAAGAGAATGACTCATTAAGTTGACATCATCGACAAGGATAAAACATTCTCCCTAATGTTCCCTGAACCTACCTCAGTGACATACTTTGGCAATCATGAACAAGTTAGCTAGTGTGTCATAAGCAAGGACCATATGTCATTAAAAAACTGATCAGTAGGCTACAATTTTAGGATTTCTTCATTTATTAGTCTTGACATTGTTTCAAAAAATCAGTCAAATTAGTTATTCTAGTCATTTGGCAAGTAATTACTTCGTGAAAACGCATTGCCTAGATTCCCTTCTAATTGCCCAGTCCTTTGGCCTTCATTGCTCATCATAAGTATGGGAAAGAAGTCATGTGAAGACTAGCAGAGTGGTCTGTCTATGATATGGATTAGGTTTTTATCCTTTTTTGGGCATTGTTTAATGAAAAAAATACAATCATGGTACATACAGCATTTAGGAATAACTTGATCGAGTGGCCAAAAGAAAAATAATCTAAAATTACAAACCATGAAACAATAAATAATATAAATGCAGAAGAAAATAATAGAATTAACTTACCAATGATCTTATTAACCAAAAAGAAAAAAGAAACTTACCAATCATCTCCTCTTTCATCTTTTCTCTCTTTTCTTCAGCCAGCGGCCCCAAGCGGTGAATGGTCTTCTTGGCTTGGTCATTTGAAGGATCAAGTTCCAAGATTTTTTTCATGTCTACATAGTAAAGCATACATTGAGCAATACATATTAGTGTAAAACTAAAAACCAGTACACATGAGAACACGGAAGTTGCTTCTAGTGGGATGAAAAAGAGTCAAGAATATTGTCCAGAAATACAAGGATGAACTAATGAAAGGTACCAGCTTAGAATACAGTACAATGGTTAAAAACTTGTATTATATCCGAGCTTACCGGCAATAGCCTCGTCAAAATGCTCTAGTTTTTCATGTGCTTCTGCTCTTCTAAGCAGAGCTTTCATATATGAAGGATTTAGTTCTAGCGCTTTTGTGCATTCCTTGATTGCGTCCTCATATTTTCCCTGTGACATTAAGATTCAAACATTAACAATCATGCACAACTAAGAAGCTATTGGTGTAGAGAAGTTATAATGAAAAGAATAAGAAGCCTTTTCAAAGCATATAATAATAACACAAGGAAATAAATAAGGGAAAAACTAAAAGTGAAAACAGCGTTTCTTTGTTTGGTCAGGAGAGTGAAAACAGCTTACAATTACTAGCACCAGTTCTGCTCACGGCCTGGACATCATCTATAACCTTGTAATATTTGTTGCCTTTCACTATAAGTCTTCATTTTAAAAGTTAACTATAAAGCCTCCCTAATAGAGCTAATTCTATGTAGTTATTTTTCTGTAAAATATAACCAGAATCCATTTCAAATAAAAAATTTCCAGACACATGATGAAGGAAATCAAACCCATTTTTGCTTTTAAGACCAATCTATGCATCACTGGAATCACATTACTTTACTGTAACAACTTGCATACTTCAACAAAGACTACCAAGAAAATAAGAGGGAGAAGAGAAAAAGCCCCTTTCCGAATAATTGCACAAATCATAGCTTTTCCCATATGTGGAAATCAAAAGTGCATTAGAGCATAAGCGGCTTCATCAACAAATTTCTATTCCGTACTAACTAGTAAAGTCATATGTTACAAAACAAATCTACCCATTAAACCAGAAAAATACTTCATATTGTCGACAAACTAAGAATGCACTAGATATGTATACCATGTCAATACCTCAACTATTTTACGTGAACTTTTAATCACAACATAGAATGTAAAATTGAAAAATAAATAAATAAATAATTCAGGAAACATATTTGCCAATATTTTAACCGTATAGCATACCAATTTCGAGAAGCATATTGCACTGTTTGCGTGACATATTGAACGTAATTCCACAGATAATGGCATGTCGGGTGCAAGGTGTAAAGCAAGCACATACTGTGATAATGCCTCTTCATATTGCCCACTGCCAAACAGTCTATTGCCTTCCAATTTGACATCATTTGCTTGTTCAAATGCTTTCTGATCCAGATGCAAACAGAGGAAATCAACAAAAAAAAAAAATTTATTATCTCAACAGGAACGTAGGAATTGTAAGTAATAAAATCAGTTTAACAATTTAAGATGAAACTAACTAAGAGAGAGAAAAACCTAAATGGGTTTAATTATAAGCAAACCACACAAAGATATCAAATTTCAGAACAGCCGGATACAACAATTTCATTTTTCTTCTTCAAATTGAACAAAACTGAACTCGAGTACTGAGCTCCAAAGTAACAATAGGCAGTTGATTCGTATAAAGCCATTGGATTATCAGTAACATCTACCAGATAAACAGGCATTGCACAACACATTTTTAATAAAAATCAGAAAAACAATAGCTTTGCAAAGACAAATACCTGTTTCAGGTCGTCGGTCTGAGAGAGACTCTGCTGCTCCTCTTGGACTTGGTGCTGTTGTTGGGTTTCGTGGTCGTTGTCGCTACCATTGGGTCCAAGTTCGCCGTCGCTGGCAGTTTCGAAGCCATCAGAGACATCTTTGTTGGTGGAAGACGAGGGTTTTGAGGGATTCACATCGCTATGCCTTTCTGTCTCTTCGTCTTCTATCAGCATACTTGTGCTTATCTCAGGAAATCAATTCCTACGAACAGAAGAGAAACGCAAAAGGGTTAAGGATTTTGGCTGCGGCAACTGCTTTTCCAGAAAGCTCTTTCTACTCGGCAATTTCTTGGAGCACAAAATAACATCTCGCATATTTCCTAAACGAAGCCGTTTTGTCTTCATCACACGTTTGCTATTGTCGTTTCTCCCTAAAACTTTTAGAGGGCGTTTGTTACACAGCATGAAAATTGAGAGGTAAAACTAATTATTTACCACTGTATTAGAAATTGATAATTAAGAACAAGACTTAAGCAGAACATAGGTTCGGAATGACACCATCATAATCCATGTTAGGCTACATGGATAATTAGTTTAGGCATCTACAACTAAACTGTAGATCCTTCAACAAAAAAAAAAGAAACCTTACTTGTAACAAGATAGCACTGTTTTGGTATCCCGGTCAATAACACAAAAACACGTGAAAAAGTTATCTCGTGCATCATTGACCGGTGATAGCAAAAAATATTATTCATAGGAAAATGCTAGGCTTATAACATTTTTCATACCACAATTATACCACCTCTCTAATAGAGGTGGGCCCTATTGTATTGGTGGGCTCCACCTTTATTACAAAAGTGGTATAATTGTAGTATGAAAAATATGGTAAGCCGAGCATTACTCTTATTCATATTGCATGAAAGTTTATCTCCTAGATCCTCTGCTAGCCAACCTCAGAGTACACAAAACAAACCCCCAAATTAAACTTTTTAACCAAGCAATACGCCAACTTTCAAGTTTGAACAAACATTAAACAGAAAAGCAGCAGCCTAAATTGAACAAAATGAAACCCCAAACACCATCTCCACCACAAAGCACGAACAAGAAACAACCATTTCTACATAAACCCAATCAACAAAGGAGCCTCAAATGCAGGTTACCACCTCCAAGTATGTGACAAACTTAGAACATCCATAAAACAGAAACTCATTAAACAAAAAAGACATCAACATACGCGAAACATAAACCAAAATTAAACTCAATATTCAAAATAGGTAAAAACTGTACATCAACATGCAACAGCAAAAAAATCCAAAGTGAAAGATCTGACCTGAGGCGTGACCAAGCACAGACCTAGGATTTACAAATAAGGTGGGTTGAAATTTTAAGCCAAATTTTTTGGGTCAAAATTTTGGCAGTCTCATTTGTTTTTTGTTTTTATGGCATTTCCCACAAAACAATAAGCTAACAACGAGAGGGAAAGCGAAAGGCTGAAATAGGAATAAAACAAGGTCAAAATTCAAAATTTAAAGTACTAAAGGATCAATTAAAAGACGGAGCAAGAAAAAGTTGCACAAGCCCATGCTTTAGTGTTAGTATGAAATTGTATTGGCATTTTCTAAAACTTGTATAGGTTTAGAAGTGTCATTAGTTATTGGGTTGAAGCATAATTGTTGTCTCTGATTTTTTAAAACTGTGAGATTGAAATATATCAGTCATCTCGAATAACAAAATTGTAACTTAACACGTATGAGACATTTGATCCAAAGATAAGCCATGTCATTTGTCATGCACACATGATATGAACATTTTTTGGCATTTAATATGATATTATTTTCCTGATTTTCTCTGATCTTAAGTAAATAAGAATCCCTTTAGAAGTGGATCTCATTTAGACATAATTTTTAATATATTTTCTTTCTTTTTTTCTTTAAGTAATTTGCTTGAAAATCATGTTTTCAATTAGATCACACTATCAAGGTGTCTGATCACGGTTTGATTGCTTTGATATTGTGATTGATTAAAACCATCTTTTCTTGTATGCCTTTTCTATTGGTTTCTATTGGCCTTTTCTATTGGTTTAATTTCACATGTGACTATCTATAGAAAAGGAAAATATATTTGGGATTTAATTTAATTTTTGCCAATCAAGCAATCTTTGTTTTGAAGGTGTTTTCTTTTTGGTGGAACAAAAAGAGTCCGGTTTATCTATTACCAAAGTTCATGTGCCCCCTTGTTTCCCTGCTAATTTCGTGACATGAGGCAAGCCACTTAACCCCACTTAACTCTTTTTGCTTCTTTTCTCTATTTGTTTTTTTTTGTTTTTTTGCTTTTTCTCCCTGTTATGCCCCTTTCTCCCTTTTATCGTTCCCCTCTCCCCCTCCCTCCTTCGTCTCCCCTCCTCTCCTTCCTTTTTTGTTCTCTTTTCTAGATCTCCACCTCCATGTTCTCTCTCTCTCTCTCTCTCTCTCTCTCTCTCTCTCTCTCTCTCTCTCTCTCTTTGCTTTTGCTTTTGCTTTGTTTTTCTTTTGAGAGAGAGAGAGAGAGAGAGAGAGAGAGAGAGAGAAAACAAAGCAAAAGCAACAAAAAAAAAAGGGAGAAAGAAAAAACATAGTGGTGGAGATCTGGAAAAGAGAACAAAAAAGGAAGGAGAGGAGGGGAGACGAAGAAGAGAGGGGGAGAGGGAACCAGAGAAGAGAGAAAGGGGCAGAACAGGAAGAAAAAGCAAAAAAAACAAATAGTAAAAAGAGTTAACAAAGTTAAGTGGCTTGCCACATGTCACGAAACTAGCAAGGAAACAGGGGGGGCACAGGAACTTTGGTAACAGGTAAACCGGACTCGAACAAAAAGCCTATAAAAGAAGATCTTTGCCTTCTTCATTCTTTAGAGATGTCAAAGACTATTTTTCTATGCTTTCACGATCATATTTTCAGTCCATAAATTTTGGAAAGTTGAGTTTTTATTTGAGATAAATCATCAAGTGTTCCATGTTTACTTGTTGATTTATCAAACACTTTTCTCATTCATATTGCATTCATTTGCACTGATTGGAGACTCATACGTTTGAGGGCACCAAGACCTTGGTGACGGTTTTTCTCTGGTGAGCTTGAATCAATGTATCAGATTCAACATAAAGAGAGTTGGAACAACTTCGACGAACTTGAAGCAATCGTGACTAGTATTGCATTCAACATAAGAAGTATCGAAAGATTATCCCGTGACAAAGGTTGAGTTAGTAATAAGTCAGTAAACATTATTTAGAGTGTGTCTAGGATAAGTGTGTGAATACTTCTTGCAATCATTGTTCTATAATGGATTTGCTTTGGATTGAGGAGTCCCGTGGATTTTCCCGAGAGGTGGGGTTTTACCACATAAAGTAATTCTTTGCATTTTCATATATTTTTATGTTATGTGCATTCAAGGATTGATACCACTTATCAATCCTCTGGGCGTGTTTTTATTCCTTTGCTACACTTAAACTCTGTAAACATACTATTCAACCCCCTTCTAGTGTTTTAAGCTATCCTACATGTAATTTCACTCAGAAGTTAGGACTAGGGGTGGGCATCGAGACCAAAAAACCGGACCACCGAGCCGCACTGGATGAAAAAAATTGTATTTACAACTAGCGTGATTTATATAATTTAATGTATATTTTATTTCTAGAAAAAGCTATAGAAATTGTAGATAAACAAAAAATTGATCATTAGATTTTAGGCTAATAACTTTAGCTAGCCTACCTGCTAAAAAATTCATGGTTCCACCCTTGGTTAGTAGGTCTTGTAATAAGGATGCTCACCTAGTGGCTCAATTCCCCTAGGGGCTCAATTTGCAGAAAAAAAAAAAAAAAAAAAAAAAACTCTATTTCTTGGGTGTGGGAGTGTTTGCGTTACCCTCCCTACTAGCTACTCAAGACTCTTGAAGAAGATGTAAACATTTTTATTAATGAATGAATTCAATACTACCGTTTGACAAAAACAAAAGATTGTCCAGGAAAGTGAACTCAAAATTTAGAGAGGATTTTCCATAAGTTTTAAAGGCCGTTCTTCTATGAATTTCTTGACTACCACCATCTCTAATAATCCCCTTAAATGGAGGTAAACCCATCAATTTTTTATTTGATTAATGTTTTGATTTTGTTTTCTTTGTAAGATTGAAATTTGATTGTGTTCAATTATGTGGTTGCTTTGATTTCAATGATCAGAATTTTATTTCATGTGGGTTATATAAGAATATGCAAATGACCGAATGGGATAGAATGGATGGATGAATATGAAAAAGTCCCATTCCCTCTAGCCCCTCTATATTGGCTTAATTTGGTGGCTGCTTGGACGTCTTGGTGATGACATTGTGTTGGGGTTATTTTGGTAGATTTGTGTCAGATATGTGCAAATCTGTTCATCTTCGTCCTCCCTTGGTTTGATGTGAGCCTGATTCGATCGGCAATGGTAATAGGGCGTTATGTTTTGTTCCTTTTTTTAGTTATATAAGTGCAGCAATTCTCTATGAGTTTGTTGAATGGTCTCTATTTGGGAGAGCTTTAGTCTTTGTTTAGGTTTTAAATTTGTTTTATAGGTCTCTCTTTGGGGGAGTAATGTAGCCGTGATTATCTTTTATACCTTATTGACAAAGGGTGTACTATAGCCGTGATTATCTTTTGCACTCCATTTAAACCTTTATTGACAAAGGGTGTACTATAGCCGTGATTATCTTTTGCACTCCATTTAAACCTTTATTGAGTCCTTATTTGGGTCAAAATATAGGTTTAAGTGATTGATTGCATTTGTAATTATTGTAATCGAGGCTTACGACTTTTATCAATGATACTTCTGTCGTTTGGCGAAAAAATAAAATTGACAGTTATGTCCACCTACTCAACCAGACAAATTTCGTGACGATTTATTCCAGAATCCCAGCAAAAAATCCTTTTTTTCTTTTTTTTTGGTCTGACCCAGCAGAAAAGCTAGACAAGATATATAATTTCAGAATAGCAGAACAAACAAAGAATCTTATCAAAAGAATTGAACCAGCTCAGTAATAACAGAGGCAACAATAACATCAGTTCACGTGAAGAACTTATCAACAGCAGTACGTACAAAGAATCTCATTTTCCAAAAGCAACGACCATCTTCTTTTATATTTTGGCCATATCAAAAGTAAGAGAAAAGGCTTCTTTGGCACTGTTCGATGGAATGACAAGAGGACAATTAAGACAATACCAAAGCAAGTAAGGGCATAATCGTCTACCACCAAACAAATCATCGTTATTTAGCATACAAGGCTGATAAATGGCAAGTAGAGAAGGATGCTATTTGCCTCGTTTCCGATAAGGAGACTCTCCTTTTTACAAATCACA